CAAGGAAACACAGGGGGGAGGCTGAAATCTATCTTTGCCTCCGGGTGGTGAATCCAGCAGGTGCTGTGTGCATCCCACGTGACGCCTGAGAATGTGCACAGCACCCTCATGCACGGCGCCCGGGCCCACCCAGGATAGGCGATGGTACAGCACAGAGCCGGGAAAGTACACGGCATGGGCAGGGTCCCCCAGTATCGGACCTGGAGGAAGAGACGGGCCACTCGGGAGGTTCCAGAATGGGGGTGTTTCCGACTGGGTCCCACCCCAGGGACACATTCTAGCCACTGGTCGGGCCATTGTGCTGGACAGCGAGGGCAGGAAGAGGTCCAGGGGGTGTTGGGAGGTTCGGTTCACAGAGCCAGGGAGGCGCAGAGCGCCCCCCCCCCCCCCCCAGCATCTCTTGCCGATGCGGTTTCCATGATGATCCTAGTAGCCTGCGGCAACCACTCTGCACAGCCAGGCAGGGTGAAAATAATAGTACAAGATAATTCGATCTTAGCTTCGCTCCACGGAGCACTTACTCTGTCCCAGGCATTGTGCTAAGCACTTTACAAAGAAATGATTCTCCCTTAATCCTCACGGCAGCCCCCAGTGGTGGCGCCCACCATTATCTCTGTACAAATAACTTGCTCTCTACCCAGCGCTCGTTACTCATCCTTCCGTTCACGTAGGCCGAGGACCAGGTCTCGGGAAGGCGAGCATCTCGTCCGAGGGCCAGGCGGCTGGCCAGGGTGGGCCGGGGGAGCGAAGCAAGGTCGACTGGACCCTCTTTCCTGTCACCAGATTTTCAGTGAATGCTGCGAATTGGACTGACAATAGAATCAGCGTCTAAACGGACTGCGGCAAGGCTGAAACGCTGACCCTGATCATTAAAATAAAACACAGAGAGAGAGGCAGGAAAATGACCACATTTGGGAGAAAAAACAGACAGCCTAACTACCTGTTAGAGGTAACACACATGGAAAAAAGACTTAGAGGCTATTTATCCATCCACCCGCGACCCACCTACCCACAACCCACCCATCCATCTATCCACTCACCCACCATCTGTCCATCTATCCATTCACCTACCTGTCCACTCACCCATCCATCCACCCATCAACCCACCACTCATCCAACCACCCACCCATCCCTGCTCCCTCTGGCTGCTGGCTGGCCACCCACACTCAGATCCAGCTCTCCAGCCGCCCCCCACCCACCCTTCCTTCCTTCCTTCCTTCCTTCCATCCATCCATCCATCCATCCATCCATCCATCCACCCACCCACCCACCCATCCATCCATCCATCCATCCACCCACCCATCCATCCATCCAGCCACCCAGTCACCCACCCATCCATCCATCCATCCATCCATCCATCCATCCATCCATCCATCCACCCACCCACCCACCCACCCACCCATCCACCCACCCACCCACCCATCCATCCATCCATCCATCCATCCATCCATCCATCCACCCACCCACCCACCCACTCATCCATCCACCCACCCACCCACTCATCCACCCCTGCTCCCCCTGGCTGCTGGCTGGTCACCTATGCTCAAACTCTGCTCTCCAGCCGCCACATGCAGGCTGGCAGGTGTGTCACAAGGTGTCCAAGTGACTGGAGCTCAGTGGTGAGGCTGAGAGCTGTGGCCAGGGCAGCCATCTCCGAGCTGCTGGTCCCTTCAGAAAGGTTCCGCCGTGGAGCTGTGCATGTCGTCGTGTTGGGAACAGGTGGGCTGAAGGCATCGCCCTCTGGGCAGGCTGGGCTGGAGAGGGTGCCCGCCCCATGCTCCTGTGCTGACGGGGTGCCCTCTCTCCCGCCCTGAGCTCAGGCTTCTTCCCCAGGGAGGGCCATCATGTGCGGCCACTGCGCTTCAGAAACGGCTCTCCTTGGCCCATAGCTGCGTGACGCTGACTGTTCTGGAATTTGGGGTACCTGAGGCTTTGGATTCTTAGTGGGGTCTGGGTGGGGCTGTCACAGTATGACATGGGCTGCTGCAGCCCAGCAGGCGGAGTTGAATGAATGAATGGGTGAATGAATGAAGAGTGCAGTTCATCATGCTGACAGTGGACAGGTCTGGCGCACATGAGGTCCCCAGTGGGGGCCGCAGCAGCGCTGGTCGCCGGGCTAGCTCTGTCCTGGGATAGGCAGTGCCGGGCGTGAGGACCCTGACCAGCAGCGGGAGAGAAGGTGGCCACAGGCGGGACTAATTGGCTCGCCCTCCTTCCGCTGCCGGGCCTCGGCTAATCTGCCGGAACGCTCTCGTTAAATGCCAATTAGGATGTTCTGTCCACTGCTCCCGTCCAATATATTAATAATGTAATTAAGCGTATATCGCCTGTGAAAATGAAAAATTAATGCGACCGGAAGACTGAGGAAGGGGCCGCGTGAGTGGCCAGTGGGCTCTGGGCTGGCATCCCTGGGAGGGGCCCCGCCAGCTGCCACCAGCTGCTGTCTCTCCCACCAACCCCCCCGCCCTGGGTACCCAGGGTGCGGCCTCGCCTGGCGGGGAGGGGAAGGGGCTGTTTTCTGGGATTCTGCCCTCCCCCTCCTGGGGACAGGGTGTAGATTTCAGTGAAAGGAGATGCCTCTGGCAGCGGTGGGGGGTGACTGAAGCCCCTGCCCACCCTGGCCCAGGATGAATTGGTCCTGCATTCCAGCCAGAGGATGGGAAGCAGCTGGTCTTGGTGTGTGTGGGGGTATCAGCCCAGGAGTGGGGACCAGTCCCCTGGATTGTGTGTGTGTGGGGGGGGGTGGGGGGAGGGCAGTGGCCTCCACACGGGGAAGCTCAAGGCGAACCTCCTCTGTCCCCGGGGATCTGCGGGTCCCAACAGGTGTGGCCTGGCTCCGGAAGGGGACCGGGCAGGCAGAGGCCATGGGAAGTGGGGGTCCGGGAGGCTGTGTCTCCCCGTGCTGCACCGCCCCCCCGCCCCGTGAGCCATGAAGATGTCCCGGGGTCCCTGCCCGCCCCACCCCGCCCCGCGGCAGCCAGGTGAGGGAGGCCCTGTTGTTTTAAACACTTTATTTATAAAAAAGTACATCATTTTTCCCCCCCCTCGGTCAGTATAGCTTCAACCCATCATTTTTTTTTATACAAGTGAAAGGGGGTGAGGCAAGCACCCCCCTCGGTCAGAGAGGATGCAGGAGGCTTCTCCTGGCACCTCAAGTGTACAAAAGAGGGGGCTCAGTTCCCGCCAAGAGCCCCGCTTCTCAGCAGCCACAGAGCAGCACCGGGCGGGGTGGGGACGTCCCCGCGGGCCCCCCGCGCCCGACGCGGAGCTGCCGTGTCCCCAACTTCCCGGTGATGCTGCCGTGTGAGGGTTGAGGCCGGGCGCCAGAACCCGCCAGGCGCTCCCTCCTTTTCGCTCCTCCTGGAGAGGGGCCTCTGCCCCCCGTGAGGCCGGCAGGGCTGTGAGGAGGCGGGCGTGCGCGTGGGGGCCGCGTGCGGGGCAGCTGGACGCGGAGCTTCTGGCCACGGCGGAGAGCAGGTCGAGGGGGGTCTGGGAGGTGCCGCCCTCGTGCCCACTGGCTGCGCGGGGGCCTGGCAGCGCCCACCTGACACACGCCATCTCCTCAGGTCCCGGTGTGACCAGACTTGTGCTCTCTCCGGGCACCCCGGCGCCCCCCCCAAGACCCACAATTTGTGCTTTGTTTTGGGGGGAGGGTGTGGAGGTGTCTTCGGGGGACTCGGTGCTTTGGCTGGGCCCTCAGTCCATTGTAGGAAGAGAAATCTGGGTGGCAGTGCAGGGTCAGAGGGGAGGTGGGCAGGTGGGGGTGCTGGGAGAGTTTTTTTCACTCTCAATTTCCAGGACGTAGAGAACACCTCTTACAGGCAGGCCCCCAGGATTGCATCCTATCCGGGGGCAAGGGGACCCAGCAGAGGGCCAGCATGGCATGAGATGGTGGGGTAGAGGGCCGTGAGTGGACGCACGGTGCCCTGCCTGGGGTCAGTAAGCACCCCACTTCCCCTCACAGTACCCCCGTTGCCAAGGGGCACGTGCTGCCCGGGCTGGCATGGCTTCAGACTTCTGCTACGTGGCTACTGGGCGGTCTGGGCGGGGCAGTGGGGGCTGGGCAAGGGGCACAGTGGGAGGCCCAGGGCTGCTAGCCGGGGGGGGGGGGGGGGTGGTGGTGGGGTTCAGTAGCAGCACCGGGTGGGGGGGGCACACAGGTCAGCCGGCACCGCGGGGCACCCCATGGCCGGCCTCCCCCAGTGCTGGCCCCCACAGCCCCTGTACCCCAGGTCCTTCCCACGTGGAGTCGGGGGCTGAGGCACTTGGAGCTGGGGGGCCGCGAGGCAGGAGTGGAGGGGGAGCGGCTGAGCTCAGAGCCCCCCTGGCACAGGGAAGTGTCCCCAAGTGCCCTTCTTACAGAGTGGACAGTGGGCCAGTGGTGGCTGCTGACCGGGCCCGGCCTGCCCCTGCTGTCCCCCTGCTCCTGCAGATGACCCCCACGTGGGAGCTGCCCAGGAAGGTCCCCTGCCAGAGGGGGGCCCGGAGGGAGGGGCGCGGCCCGGCAGTGAGCAGCCTGCGTAAGGCGTGTGAGCCGAGGAGCGAGGGGGCCAGAGCCCACCTGCCCCTGCCCCACGGGGGTGGGACGCGGAGAGACCCCCCCTCCTGCTAGGGGCCCTCACTCATGCACCCCCGGCACTGGGGGGAGGGGGGCACCAATAGGTGTTGCACCCCCCTTCTGCCTCTCGGGTGCCGGCCAGAGCTCACGATGGGGGGCGGGTGTAGAGGGGAGGGTCCCTCTCCCTGGGAAAAGGGGAGCAGCATGGGGGAAGGGAGGTTTTCCGCGCGGACCCCCTCCGCCCCCAAGGGAGAGAACAGATTCCAGTGTCGGGGGGCCGGCGCCCCACACCCTGGCACAGAGGACGATGAGAACAGGGCTCCCTGTGGGTACGTGGGGGTGGGAGGGCCGGGAGGTGGGGAGGGGTGAACAGCAAGACCAAAGCCACAGTCGGACACAGCACCGGGGGGTCGGGGGCCGGCAGACCCGGGCGGGGGGGCGTGCGGGCGGGGGCCGGGGCGCGGACGGACCCGGGGTGGGGGGGCGGCCTACACGTACCATTCCTTCTTGGAAATGAAGGAGCCGTCGTTCTGGGACACCATGTTCTCGGCCAAGTCCAGCTGCTCGGGGTCATACTGGTAGCCGAGGGTCCGGTCCCCGTAGCCGTCCTGCCGGGCCTCGGCCTCGTCCACTGTGAAGTAGGGCCTCTTGGCGTCCTCGTCGTACTTGGGGTGGGGGCCCCCCAGTTTGCGCTCGCCGCCGCCCCCCGCCGCCGCCCTCCTCGTCGTCCTCCTCCTCGTAGCTGCTGCCGCCCAGGGGGCCCGGCTTCTTCTCGTCGTCCGAGTCCTCGGGGTACTGCAGCTTCTGGGCCATGGGCGGGTGGTGCTGCGGGACCCCCGCCTTGCTGTAGCCGTTGCCGTACACGTGCTTCTTGGTGCTGTAGTCGCCCTTGAAGGTGTGACGCCGGCGGCGCAGGGCCACCACGATGCCGCCCACCACCAGTAGCACCAGCAGGACGCTGCCCACCACGCCCCCAATGATGGCCGTGGGCACCGGGCCGTGGCGGCGCCCGGGCTCGGCGGGGGCCGGCGTGTAGGGGAACTCTGGAGGTCGGGGGAGAGAGAAAAGGGGGGGGACGGTCAGTAAGTGCCACAGCTGCAGCGGGACGAGAGGCCGAGCCTGGCAGGTCAGCCTGCTGCCTGCCACCCCGGAGGCCTGCGCCCCGGTCGAACCCGGGAGTGTGGTGTCCTGCTCCATCTCATTGCCCGCCGTGAACGCTTCTGTCCCCAGGGTTGGGGCAGCCCTGAGGGACCGTGAGGTGGCAGTGGCCGGCACTGAGGAGCTGGGGGATCACGCAGGACGGATGGCGGGAAGGGAGTAAGTGGGGATGAGTGGAGGTGGGCGCTGCCCCTTCCTTCCAGGGGGACGCCACGGGCCCCCAGAGAGGTCCCCCAGGCAGGGCGGTTGCGGCGTTTCCTGACGCTGCCACTGGGGGGCACTGGAGACCGTGGCTGGCCCGGGGCAGGGCGTGGGTGGGCAGGTGAGGGAGAGCTGGGGCGCTGACCTCACCCAGCAGGGCTCCATGCCCTGCCCCCTTCCAGAGCGGGAGTCACGTGCGAAGTGACCCCCGAACCCGGGCCTCCCACTTCCCACCATCACTGCTGCTGCCTGGCCACCACCCGCAAGTGTTTACTGAGCCTTTGTCCTCCCCCACCGACTTCCAGAACCGGCTCCCGGAAACCCAGGCTCTTCCTGGTTCAGCGGGTCCCATCTGTTCACTGCCGCCAGCAGGCTGCACACCAGCTGCCCTGGTCCAGGACGAGGACAGGGCAGGGCAGGACAGGACACCGCCACAAGGGGTGCCCCAGAAGGAGGAGGCAGCCTGCATGCTCCAGTTTTTAGCTGCACACCTGCCCTCTCCATCCATCCGTCCACTTCCCATCTTCCTATCTGTCCATCCATCCACCATCTGCCACCCCCTACCCAGTATCCACCGTCCACCCATCTATCCACCATCCATTCACCTACCCACCCAGCCACCCATCCATCAGCCAGCTGGCCATCTGCCCCATCCATCCATTCGTCTATCCATTGTCTGTCCTGCCATCCATCTATCCATCCTTTCTTCCTTCCTTCTGTCTGTCTGTCTGTCTATCAACCTAGCAAGCAGTCGTGCTCCTCTCGCGGGTCACGGATACAGAACGGCCCTGATGTGACGGGAACTTACAGACACGCAGAGACAGCGGCCTCGGACACTGAGCGTGGTGTCATTCGGGAAAGGCCACCCCGGGGAGACCAGCCCGGCCTTGCAGGCCCCCTGCTCTGGCTGCAATCTTTAGCCCCATCTCTTGGCTAGCCGGCCCCCATCCACCCGGCAGCCCCTCCAACGCCCTTTGGGGACTCTGCGCTCCCCAGCCCCGGGAGTGGCAGGTAACTTGCATGCTCGAGGCATGATCAGAGTGACAGATACCACACCACCTGGCAGGTCCCTGTGTCAATGCCACCAGCACCAGGCCCTTCCCCAGGGTGCTGCCAGCCTGTCTGTGCCCCTTCCCGGGACTGGCACTTGGGGTGCTGCCCCTGAAGCCTCCAGCATAAGCTTCTCCCCAGCAGCTCAAACCTGTGTCCAGCGCCTTCCCTGCAAACCTTTCCACCCCCCGAGCCCCAGTTCCCTGGACTGCCAGGGTGGGACCCTCCCATCTCTCTCAGCTGCCCTTCCCGCCAGGCCTAGTTGGTGCAGGAGGTTCCAGAAGGTTCCAGGATCCCTTCCATTCATCTCTGCTCCACGCCCCCGTTGCTTTTTGCTTATGGCCCACACCTGGAGATGCTCAGAGGATACCCCCACTCTGCTGGGGGTTACTAACGGCAGGGCCTGGGGAGCCGCATGGCACCAGGGACCAAACCAGGGCCTATTGCATGCCAGGCTCAGCCCCCAGACCCCCCCCCCCCCCCCGGCGCTGCCACTCCAGCCCCACCCCCTTCCCTCACTCTCCCCATGCCCAGGTCAGCCTCTTGGATGTAGACCTCCATCTCTGCCTGGCCATCTGCTCTCGGGCCGGTCCCCCAGTTCCCCGTCCTCCCTCCGAGCTGTGCTGTGCTCACACGGGCTGCTCCTCAGCCCCTCCCCAGCTCACACCCATCTGTGCTCTAGAATGTTCGGGCGCTGATGCCCACACCTCTCCTTCCGGCACCAACTGGAGCGGATTGCATTCCAGTCACCAGGTGTCTGCGGACGCGCAGGTCACACCCGTGACAAAACACGCAGCAGCCGCACGCACGTGGGCTGAGGGTTCCGGGGGGCTGCGGAAGCAGCACCGACTCGATTCACTGCACCCTGGTGTGCACCAGGGAGCCCCCCGTGTCTGCTTTCCCACTGTCTGTGGTGGGTGGCAGAGAATTTGGGAAAACGGAAGTGTGCCCACCTTTCCCGCCAGGAGACGGGCTGGGGGGCTGACTGACCACAGCATTCACTGCAGGTCTGTTTCACAAGGGCGGTGGGTGTCCCCAGCGGGCCCATCAATGCCAAGGACATCTAGAACCTTCCACGCCTCAGCCCCGCTCTCACCCAAGCCGCTGCCATCTCCCACCTGGGCGATTGCAACAGCCGCCTTGCCGGTCTCCACCCTTTTCCTCCACGGACGAGTTTCAACACAGCAGCCCGAGATCCTGTGAGATCTGGAGGCTCAGAATGTTCTGCCCGACCCGCGGCCCGCCCCCACCTCTGACTTCATCTCCTCTCCCCTGGACGCTGCATACTGGAGGGGCCTGCCCCCGGCTGTCCCTGGCTGGCCTGAGGCTCCGCCGGCCCCTTCCCCCGAGGACCCTAACTAGGAGCCGCCAGCTTCCCTGGCTCCTCTTCTCTCTGCATTGCCTCAAACTCGCCATGGGGCTGAGCGGGTCCCTGCCTGCTGGCCCCTCCCGGGCACCCGCACAGACACGGGCTCACAGGTGTTATCTGAAGCACCCGGACTGCCCGGTGTGGGCTCAGGGTTCAGGGCTGCTTTGCTGCAATCTTGCTTTTTTGTTGGGGGTGGGGGGGGCAGTGGGGTCCACACCCAGCGGTGCTCAGGGCTCACTCCTGGGTGTGTGCGGGGACAGATCCCAGGTCATGTGTGTGCAGAGCCAGTGCCCTCCGCTGTGCTCTCCCTGCTGTGAAACCTCGGGAAAGCTGAGGCTGGGCCCCACAGCGTGTGCACGGCAGCACGTCCCGGGGAGCATTCCGGACCCAACTCCGCCCGGTCCAGAGGGTGTGGGAGGTGTTCAGGGAAGCTGTTCCTTCTGTTCAGCTTCATTTTCCTTTCTAAGCCCTACGTAGGTTCACGCTCCCCTGGGGAGCTTTCCTGTTTCGTTTTTGGGGCCTGCCTGGCAGTGCTCAGAGATTACTCCTGGCTCTGTGCTCAGGGGACCATGGGGATTCCTACAGGCAGAGCACAGGCCCAACCGGTCCACAGATGGGAGAGGGGTTGGGGGTGGGTAACCCCCCCAGTGCTGTGAATTTTAGCCTGCAGAGGCCAGGCAAGGGTGCTAGAGACAGGAGGTGCCCTGGAGACCCACTGGCTGCCTGGCAGAAGCGGCAGGGGGCATCCATCCCCGTCCCTGTGGGTGGATCACATCCGCAAGAAGTTGGTTCCAGGAGCCAGCCTCAGGGCCATAGCTGGGAGTGTAGAGCTGGGTGGGGTTGCCTGGGGGGGGGGGAGGGGGAAGGTCTGGGTGGTGCCCCTCATGGTCTCTTGCAAAAGGGACCAGCTCGGGGCTTGGGGGCGGGGGAGCTGGAGGCGGCAATGACTACAGCTCCCAGCATGCCTTGCAGCTGCCAGGGGCTATGGGAAGCCGCCCCCCTCCTCCCCCCTGCAGCTGCAGCTTGGGGCCCGGGAGGAGAAGGCCCGGCTCCCACCCGCACACACGGCGCCCTGGCCTCACGCCTGCTAGCCCGCACACGCCTGCAACCTCGGTACAGCCGGACGCGCGCCTGGGCACGCACGGCCCAGCTTGGCCCAGGCTGCCCGCCTCTGCCCGGGAAGGGGAGGGGAGGACTCTGCCCCACCCCACGGAGGGGGTCCTGGGGAGACCCTGCCACAGCCGGGGCAGGCGTTTTGGGTTCCACTAGGGAAATGCCCAGGGTGACACTCAGTCTGGTCCTGCTCACTGGCCCCCTGGACATTCCGCTACTCTCCTCTCATATGCGGGGGAGCCCCGTCCCTTTCTCCCTCTTGTCCCTCAGCCTAGCTGAGGCTCCTCTAGATGCTAGCCTGTGGGCATGGCCCTCCACGCTGCCCCTCAGCTCCCTGCACATGCACCTGGGGACAGCGGTGGCCAGGCAGAGGGCGGGGTGAGAAGTTCAGTGTCCACTTAGCTGCCTTAGCAGCGGTGGGCCCTGCTCCTGGGGGTTGGTGCTGGGGGCCTCAAAGCCCTGCGGTCCTGGCTGGCGGAGCTCTCTTGTGCCCAGGGGTGGCCACTAAAGACGTCTCTGGGCAGTAAGAAGCCCCTAGTCTGAGGGGCTGGGGTGTCCCACTGAGGGGATGTCCAGTGGCATGGGGTGACTGGTTGGCTGCAGTACTCTCTGGCTCCTGGGGTTCTTGTCCTAGCCCTCTCCCCAGTTTCCTGGAGAGCCTGGGGCAGGGGGTTGGAGGGGATGCCACAGGGATGCTTGGTGGTCCACCACTGTCTGGCAGTAGGAAATGGGCTTGGTGGAACATTCAGAAGTGGGAGCTTGGAACCCCGGGGTTAGCTCTGGGAGTGGACGACAGAACACAGCAACTGCCCGGGTGCATCCGACCCACCTCTCTGCTCCTGCATTCTCCAGGAAGGAGAAGTTCGCCTTGGGAAGGGGTCACCTTACTTCCCTCAGTTGCCACTCTCAACATGGCTACTTTCCCTGGTCGCCACCCCCTACATGGCCGGTCAGAGAACCAGGGCAGGGGATGGGGAGACAAAGGCAAGGGACAAGTCTGGCCCCAACCCAGTCCTGTGACCACCAACAGCTCTTCTTCCTGCAGCTGTGCCCAGAATGTTCTCTAAGACACAACACAGCTCCGTGCAGACACACTCCGAGACCAGTCACCCCTGTAGGGGGCCACTTCCTGTGCAGCTGGGCAGCAGCATGACATCACTTCCTGTCCGGGGGAGACCCGTCACTTTCTCACCCTGTACCTGGCACCGTGGCCTCTGATATCATTTGGTGAAACCCCTGCCTCGGGTCATGGAGCTGGGGGAGCTCTTCACCCCTCTCGGCTTGTTTAGATCCTTTTTATTTGCACATCTGGTGGTACTCAGGGGTCACTCCTGGCTCCTGGCTCCGGGGGACCACATGGGATGCTGGGGATCAAGCCCAGCTGAGCCGCATGTATGCCCTGTAGATCCTGTCATCAGGGACGGTAATGACAGGAGCGGGGAGTAATCACAGAGCACGCACCGGCCCCGCCAGGCGGGCTGGCTCAGGCCTCTGCCATGTCCCTCTGGACGGTGTATATGGCACATCCGGTCGGCCCCACTGCAGCCTAGGGCCCATCTAGGTTCCAAGCCGCCACCTCCAAGTCAGCGAGTCTCCCCCAGAGCACCCTGTCCTGAGCCCTGATGGTAGTGCCAGGGACACTGAGGCCGACCTACCTGGGGCCAGCGGATGAAGACCAAACCTTGCCTTCTCAGCCCAGGGGTTTCCTAAACTGCCCAGAGCTGGCAGCACTCAGGCACGTGGTGCTGGTGGGTTCATAGCAGACTCCCTGCTACCGCAATCCGCCTGAGTGTGGGACTTCCTCTGGGAGCCCCCGAATGCCTTTCCCACAGAGGGTCACCCCGCCTGTCTCCCTTGGCTTTCAAGTGAGGAAAGAGAGAAGCAGAGTAATATCTCCCTATGGGAGCTCGGGGCAATGGAGGGGTGCAATGCTTCCTGCACCCCCAGGGGGCATGTGGCGGCAGTGGGCGGACAGAGGCCGTACCTGTGATGTTGACCTCCACCTGTCCCGAGCGGGTGCCGATGGGGTTGGTGGCCTCGCAAATGTAGGTCCCTGCCACGCCGTAGCTGAGGGGGCCCCTGAAGAAGAGGGTGCTGTTCTGGGCCTCCACGCCCTTGGGGAGGGAGCCGTTCAACCTGCAGGGAGCAGACGGGGCGCAGGTTACGGGAGGTGCCTTGGGGTACCCACTCCCTGCCCTTCTGCTGAAGCCGGGTCTGTCATGAAGAAGCTAAGAACAATCTGCTCGGCCCCTGCAGCTTCCGGCCTCTCCTGTTTCACGGGTCATCACCGCCCTGGACAGGCAGACACACAGAGGCAGGAGGACTTCCGGCACAGTGTTCCTTCTCATGCACGTGGCCTGGGCAGAGGGCTTTGGGTTGTGGGTTGACTTTGTGGAGTCTGGGGAAGCTGAATCCTGACCCACAGCAAGGCCTGGGGGCAGGGCTGGTTCCTGGTGTGGGGCTCAGACTGTGGGGGAACCCCTGGGGCTGTCCTGATCCCCCTCCTCATTCTGCTGGTGCTCTCAGACGCATGCTCAAGTGCCCAAAGCAGGCCTGGCGCCTGCAAACGTCCTCCTGGTTCCCGATCTGGGGGTGCCGTGTCCCCGGCTGTGGGAAGAGTGAAGACCCCACCTGGGCCCCTCAAGCCCCCCATGGTGACAGTGCCCAGGGGGCGCTGCAGAGGATGACTCGGCTAAGGAGGACCTGGGGTGGTCCAGAAACCAGCCCCCTGAGGCACCCCTCGATTAGAGCAGCTCCTGGGGGCCGGTGGGAAATGACACACATCTCCAAGGGCCGGGCGGTGGGGGCTGGCAACCGTTGGGGTGTATGTGGCTGCCCACCCCTGCCCGGCCACCCCGCGGCACTCACGTGGTCCAGTGGAACTCGGTGGCCGGCGGGTTGGCGTCTGCGTGGCACGTGAGCTTCACATCTGAGCGCTGCAGGTACCAGTTGCCGTCGAAGCCCTCGATGGTCACCTCTGGCTCGTCTGTGGGGCGAGGGATGTGCCAGTTCAAGGGCCGGGGACGGGCACAGCATGGATGGACGGGGAGTCACTGACCCCGGTGGAGGGGCGGGGCTGGGGAGCCCAAGGATGGTGATGGGCCAGGCAGGAGCAGGACAGAGAGGGGGCGCAGGGCCCGCGGAGGGCCAGGAGGTGGGAGGGCCAGGGTGCCTGCCTGCACCTATACCCACACCTGTGTCTACACCCGCACCCACATCCATACCACACCCGTGTCTACACCCGCACTCACATCTACGCCTGCACCTGGGTCTACACCCATGTCTGTGTCTATACCGAGTCCATGTCTACACCTGTGTCCACATCTACACCCATGCTCATGTCTACACCTACGCCCATGTCTACACCCAGACCCATGTCTACACCGTGCCCACATCTACACCCACGCCCATATCTACACTGCATCCATGTCTACACCTGTGCCAACCTCTACACCCATGCCCATGTCTACACTGCATCCATGTCTACACCTGTGCCCATGTCTATGCTATATCCACGTCTACACTTGTGCTCACCTCTACACCCGTGCCCATGTGTACACCCATGCCCACACTCACACTGTACGTTGAGGGTCAAGCTCTCCCGGAAGCGGTCCATGTGGTAGTTGACGATGCAGGCCAGGGACTGCTGGTGGGCGTCCCGGCGGGGTACCAGGCGGTAGCGGCTGATGACGGTCACAGTGCCATTGGGGTTCCGGATCTCCTGATACTCCGCCTCGCCCTTCAGCCGTGTCTCCCAGGACACGATGCTGGGGGGCTTCCCGTTGGCCGACGTGCAGGTGGCCACCAGCACCTTATCGTCCTGCCCCTTCTTGGCGCGGAGCACGGTCTGGGCGCCTTCCACCCAGTTGGTGGGCTTGGCTGTGGGGAGCCAGAGGAAGCCATGGGGCAGTGTGCCGGGTGCAGGGGACACTGGCTTGCCCCCACCCCCCGCTGTAGCATCCGGTCTGGCCGGCACCACCAGCCCTCACTGCAGTCCCTTTTGTCAACCTCCCGTGGATGGAGCATGCGCAAGGCAGTTCCTTCCCGCATCGGGGGCCCAATGCAGCCCTGCTTCCTGCCACCCCAAAGCCCAGCCCCCACGCAGCTTACCCATCACCGTGAGGTTGAGCTGGCTCTCGCGGTTGCCCGCGGGGAAGGTGGCGAATTCACAGATGTACACGCCCTCGTCCTCCAGCTCCAGGCGCGAGAGGCGGATGGTGCCGTCCACGAAGGACGGCCGCAGGAACTGCACGCGCTGGCGGTAGGGCATCAGCACCGAGACGCCCATGGAGGGGTTGTAAATGGCCACGTTCTGCTTGGTGCCGTTGGTGGCCTTCTGCCACGTGACCTGCGTGATCTTCACGCCAGGCAGGGGGTTGGCGAAGCTGCAATGCAGCACCACGTCGGTGCCGATGAAGCCGGACATGGAGTCGTTCACTTGCACGGCCTGGGCGCGGGCACCTGAGCAGGGAGGGCGGGTGTCAGTGTGTGGCTCTCCTCTCCCAACCATCCCGGGGCCTGGGTCCCATCCCGGCTCCGTGTGGCCCCCACACCGCTGGTGTGGCCCTCCAACCAACCCCTCCTTGAAAAGAAACCCTCGGGGCTGGAGTGATAGCACAGTGGGTAGGGCGTTTGCCTTGCATGCGGCCGACCGGAGTTCGATTCCCAGCATCCCATATGGTCCCCTGCGCACCGCCAGGAATAATTCCTGAGTGCAAAGCCAGGAGTAACCCCTGGGCATCGCCAGGTGTGACCCAAAATGCAAAAACAAACAAACAAACACAACAAACCCTCAAAAACGGTTGATTATCATGACACCGGGGATCCAGGAGAATGGCCAGTGATGCCCGTGGCTCCACACAGCCACTGAGTGTGGGGTCTGGGGTCTGCTGTGGACAGAGCGTGCAACACTGGGGGCCCAGGGTCGGTGGGGAGATAACGAAGTGGGGGAGGGGGAGGGGCTGTATCGGAAACGCCAGAGAAAATGCTACCCATGGCCCCCCTACTCAGCGTCACTGAGACCCCTCTGAATCTATGAAACTTCAGCTGTTTTTGGTTTGGGGTCATCACTGGTGGTGTTCAGGGGCTCCTCCTGGCTCTGTGCTCAGGCGTCACTCCTGGTGGTACTTAGGGGACCCGGTGTGGCACCTGATCTGAACCTGGGACTCTGGTATGAAAAAGTGAGCGCTCAGCCCGTGTGGCTCTCCCGGGTGCATTCATGGGCGAGGCCGTCCTCTTAGTCCGATTCTGGTGGCTGTCATTGTCTTTGGCCCAACACTGGAGAAACCACCACCAAGGGCTAGTTTGGGCACTGTGGCCCTCATGCCATGGGCGGGGCGGGGGGGTGGACGCCAGGCCAAGCACTTGCTCCAGCCCTTGGAGCCATCCCTGGCTTTTCTATTGGTTCTCGTAAGAAACCAGAACTACGCTGTACGTCTGGTCCCTCCTGTGCCTCTTCACGGAACACCTGATGCCCTGGAGTGCCAACCCCGTGGCTCCGTGGCAGGAAATCCACGTTTAGTGGGGAGGGTCCAGGGTGTGGGTTTATATATTTTTTGGAGGGGAGGGGGCAGCGCTTAGCCTGGCCTTGTTCCCCTCTGGGTGTTGGGATCACTAGGAAAAGGCGGCGGGTGGAGGGGGGGTGATGAGGAGCTGCTCACACCTGCCACCCTCGTGCCCATGTGCTGCCGCCTGGGCACCCGGGTCCTGCCTCATCCAGGATCTTCCCACATCAGATGGGCCCTCGAGAGAACGAGCCGTGTCCCTCCTCCACAGTCCACCAGCACTGGCTTCCCTCACTTCCCTGCACCGTCAGCAGACCGCCCCCCCCCCCCGAGACCCTCCCCAGCCTCCTAGTATTGGGGGTCTTCAACAGTTGCAGACCACTGCTGGTCGGCCAGTGTAGACAGAAAACCACTGTCTGTGCCGGGTTCCAACTGCTGGACAGGAACTGGACAGGATAGTGCAGTGATGGGTAAGAGAGAAGGCGGGGCTGGGGCCACAGGACAGCGGGGAGGGCGCTGGCCTCACGGGTGGCCCATCTGGGTTCAGTCTTTGGCCCCCCAAGCACTGCCAGGAGTGATTCCTGAGTTCAGAGCCAGGAGTAACCCCTGAACATTGCTGGGTGTGACCCAAAACACACACACACAAGATGGAAGGAGCTAGAAGGTCCTTCTCCTCCGTGAAGACCTCACCGACTCCAGCTCGCCCCAGCCTGGGTGGTCCCCAGTCCCCAACAGGCCCGGGTCCTGTCCACCGCTGGCACCCAGCGAGGGCAGCATGCATGGGAGGGGGACAGGGTGCCCCAGCGGCCTGAGGGGTCGCACCTGTGCCCTCTGCTTTCCTGCTCCCTGGACGGGGCCCTCTGCCCTCGGCACCCCTCGCCTGGAGTTGGGGTTTGGATGTGGGGCCTCATCCCTGTGCAGGGAGATGCACCCGGCTCTCCTCGGAGCCCCCTTTCAGCCACCCCCGGGAGCCCTGCTTCTCTGTCCTGAGGCCCCCCGGGGCGTCCTCGCTGCAGTAGCTCCACCTCCCCGTGGGGACCCCCCTCCTCCGTCTCCCTTCCTGGCTGGCTCCTGCCACAGCACCGTCCTCCCCACAGGAGAAGCGGGTGCTCCCAGTGCCCCACCCCCAGCTCCCTGAGCTACCCGCCCGCCCCGGGCGCCCCAGTGGCTGAGCTAATGTGGCATAATTGGGGGACTTTCACCATGGAAGAGGCAAGCCGGGAACAGGAAAAGCCAGTTGGGTGCACGGCTGAGCTGCGGGGTGGGGCCCGGGGGCTGAGGGTGGGGCTGGGGGCTGTGGTGACCCCCTATTCCCACCCGGGCTGGGCGTAGCAGGCCCCCAATAGTGCCCCCTGGGCACCCCCACAGGGGGTCTGGGATGGATGCTCCCCGGTGCAGGGCTGGGGGAAGGAACTCTAAGCCCTTGGCCCTCCCTCCCCCCCTGCCCAGGGCCAGTGCCCTCCGCGTGCCTCAGGCAGCATGTGGGGTGCGGGCTTGGTTCCCCATAGCCCTTCCTGCTGTCAAGGCAAAGTGGCCCAACTTCTCCTGGCCTCAAGGGCACTGAGGGGACGCGGCTGCAAGGAGGGGCCAGTGGCACCAACCTTGGGACCCTGGCGAGCACAGGGATGAAGAGCTAGTCAGACAGCGTCAGTAAGTGTGGGGTCCTGCTGGGGTCTGCATCATCCTGCACCCATCCTCACCGTCACCACCATCATCCTCACCATCCTCATCCTCACCTTCACCGCCACCATTATCCTCACCTTCACCACCATCATCCTCACTATCCTCATCATCCTCACCTTCATCATCACCATCCTCACCTGTATCACTATCGCCTCCGCCCCCACCAACATTCTCTCATCCGTAAGGCAGTGAGCCCCTTCTCCTGGCACTCAGCCCAGTACCCATGGATCGCAGGTGCTGTGCAGGGTGCCCTGGGACCACCCTCTTCCAGGAAGCCCTCCCTCTGACTTGGTCCACAGGGCTGGGGGTCCGAGTAACAGACGGCGCAGGTCTGCATCCTGCATACGTGCCCAGATGCCCGTCTCCGGGGAGCAAGGTGTGGGCTTGGCCGTAGGTGGAGCTCGCAGTGTCCAGACAGGAGCCCGCTGACCGCTTCCCTCGGCACCGGGGCTCGTCCACAGAAGCCCACCCGCCTCACAGACCCCCTCTCTGTGGGGGATAGGGACCAGGACCGGGACGGTGTCCTGGAGCTGGCTGGACCTCCCAGCCACCAAGGGTTCAGAGGGACTGGCCACTTGCCCAGGGACACACAACTGCAGTCCCGGCCCCTGAGCCATAAAGACAGCAGCTGAGTCCCCCAGGACCCCCCAGGAGAGAGCCAGACCCCAGCTGGGCTTGGAGGGGGGCGCTGACAGGATGGCACCTGGGAACCGTAGGGGATCTTATACCCAGTGGCTCGGGACAGGGGCATCTTCCTGCCCTCTGCCCCCCCCCCCCCTTGGGAAGGGGGGAGCTCCAGTGCCTCAGTTTCCCCACTTGCTCTGGGGTGTGCAGTCGGGGCTCCCTTCATCGCCTCCCAGAAGTGCTGAGGCAACAAGGCAGGCGTTGCACCCCCCACCCCAAGACTTGGCGACCTGCGAAAGCCCAGCTCAGCAAGAAACGCACAAAGAGTCCTCAGTGGCGGCCAGACCTGCTCGCCGGGCCCTGCCCACCTGCCCTGCCCAGCGCGTTCCCATGAAGTGGGGCGTGGCGGGGGGGCCCCGCTGCTCCTCCTGCCCTTTGAAAGCCCAGAGCCGGTGGTGGGCCTCCCTCCAGGCTGCGGCGGGACGTGGGGGAGCTGGGGGGTCTCTGGCTGGGCTGAAGTGAGTGCACGTTGGGGTCACGAGACTCCCAAGAAGGGCCCCCCTGAAGCCCACATCCTCCGGGCCCCACGGCGAGGGTTACCCAGGCGCACCCCCTCTGCACCCCGGAACTCACAGGGGAGAGCATATCTGGTGAGGAGCCACGGGAGTGAGTGGGGATGAATCACCCCGCAGGCGGGGGCTGCCGAAACCCCACTGAGTCAGCACCCGGCCCGGGGTTCCGGCGCCCCCTCCCAGGCCAGCCAACTGCCCAAATGTCACCACCGGGCGCCAGCAGGCACCTCCCGAGCGACCTTCAGGGTCACCTGCACGCCCCACGCCAGCAGGACCCCGTGGTCAGGCCCTCCCCTGGGAGATGCCTGGCCTGGTTCCCCCTCTAGTCCAGGTCCCCTCAAAGCCCGTGCAGCGCCCCCAAACCCCCCGTATACCCAGACGGGGTCCCGGGATGGTGGGGTGGGGGTGAGGCAGAGGAGAGACCCCCGTATTTGAGCCCCCTGGGCATCCTTCTCAGCGCTCAGCACCCCCACGGGCCTGTCCAGGTCAGGTCCAGGCCTGGACGACGTCCCCTCAGTGGCCACCTTTCCCGAGAGCCAAGAACCTCCTGGGATCCCAGCACTCGGGGGGCTAATTGCTACTGTCGGGCGGGCGCCTCCGCCCTGCATTTGGGGTCACAGAAACTGCCGCTGTTTCCCTCTCGGCTGCCCCCCCCAGTCGGGTAATGATGGGCTGCTGGCGCCGGGCGCCCTGGGCAGCTGAGCGGGTGCGTGGGAGAGGAGGGGGCGCGGCAGCCTGGGAAAGCTCAGCGGAGCCAGAGCGGGAGCCGGGGGCTCCTGCAGACTGGCCTGGCCGGCCCAGCGCCCAGCGGGCAGCCCCGGGGTGTGGGGAGGGGGGGACAAGGGGGGGTGCTGCTCCCACGATTCCTATAACTTGGATCCAGCAGCACAGGGAGGGGGCCGGGGGGTGAATCAGGCGGCCGGGGAGTGGGGGCCTGTCACTGCCCCCGCCCGTCCACTCTCGGCCTGCAGGGTCCTTCCTCTCTGTGCCCACGCTGGTGCCAGCCACACAGCTGTGACTCTGCTAGGAGGCCTTTGGGCGGGCAGGTCCCTCTGGCCTCGGTTTCCTGTGAAATGAG